TGAAGAAGAAGAAAAAGAAGAAGAAGAAGAAGGCTGGAAAAAGAAGAAGAAGAAGAAGATGGCTGAAAACGAAATCAGCTGGGAACCGAATACTCCCTGCGTAACCAAATACAACAACCTTGCTTTTCACATGCTTCACCGTAACCGGATACAGCCACCAATAACCGAATACAGCACACTCAAATTTCACTTCGTTCACCGGAATCCAATACTTCGAACCGTAACCGAATACACCCAGGTGCCTTCTTCCTCTTAAACCACATGCTTCATCTTCACCCATCCATTTGCTTCCCTTCAAAACACACCACCCTTCTTCGTCTTCAACATTGGCAGACGACCACACACATGCCTCCAACCTGCAACAACAATTCAACATTTCACAGCTGCACATTACCTGATATGAACTTCTCCTCTCAAGCCAGAAAAGTTCAGCTCAACCTCATACACCACACTCCCAACTTAATACAGTCACTTATTTCCCACACCAAACAAATGTGCCTACCCATTTAATGGGTCTTCGTCAACTTCAAAATTCAAAAGCTCATCAGCTCACCATCACTGTTTGATAGGAATCTTTGCAGCACTCCAGTGTAAGGTTGTGTCAACCACAAAATCTTATCTCTGCATAACCCAACCATGGCTGCCAAAGTAAATATAGTGAACTCGTGATGCATGGGCTTTGACCAACAGTAAAAGTTAACTCCTCATGTGAATATCGTTGTACTATACATTTGTTTAAGTTAATGGGTATTTTAGCTATATTATTTTATGTTATTATGTACAAGGTATTTTAAAAATGTATCAGGACAAATATGTAATTGTGATTTGAATCAGCACAAATCATCTCACTTCAGCGAAGAAGTCCAAATCGAGCAATCCCGCAAATCTATCGCTTTCCGTCGTCTACAATCCACGCAAATGAACGCGTATAAAACCTTCATTCCTCGCTAGCAAATCTCTATAAAAAGTAAATTCGCTTGAAATGAACACAGCATAAAGGATATTTGTGAGTATATGAATAAAAAATGAGAATTAAATTAGTGTATTTTCTACATTATCATGTATTTATAGGTTTTCATGAACATGATAGTATACTAATAACAACAAATAAGATATAAAATATGCATCAAGATATAACAATAAATTAATAGATATAATATTATATTCAATTTATTATATAGTGAATTCTATTCATATTATCATAAATATTAATTTTTTCTTAATTTTAGCTATGCTAAAATATCATAAAGAACTCTAAGGGTAGAATAGAGTTTTTAAAACATTTTACGTAGAATACGGTTTAATAATATTTTACCCAATAATATTTTAAGATATCTTTTAATTAATAATATCTCAAAATATTTAACAATATTTAATAATGATTTTCTTTAATAATAAATCTCTTTTAATCTTTAAACCCACCAAGATTATATCTTATATTTTCATTTAATTAATTTTTAAAATAACAACAACTAAACCTTCTAAAAAAATACATAATATGTTTTTATTAAATTTTCATATTATTTAATTTACATGTTTTTCATTTCTACACCCACTATTTTAATTTATGCACCCAATTAATAAAATATTGAAGACCCTTTTGTCCCTAGACCAAAATATAAATATAATAAAAGAAAATAACATAATAATTATGTCTTAACAAATATGTACACTCAATCACACAATTTGTCAACCAAAACATAAAAGTCTCTAGACTACCTTATTTTTAAGACTCCTATTTTCACTGGGTCTCATGTTTAGTGGTGCTTAGCTCCAACTTTGGCACTCAACTACTAAGGTTTCCTTTTGTACAATGTTTTTTTAACCACCTTTTGAGTGCTTAGCATAGTTTTTGGGGCTTCAGCTGCACATCCTTAAATTCTTGAAAAATTTGCAGCAAATCATCAAAAGATCATTAGTTTCAAGTTTTTCTAAATTTCAGTATTTTATTCTTTGATTCTAAGCTAAAAAGATTTAATTCACCTAATATTTATATTAAATTCATGCAAGATAAGTGTCAAAAAGATATGAAAAGATACATAAATTAGACACTTATTAGTTAGTGAGTCAGGATGTCGTTGAGAGCTACTCCTTAGGGCCAACTTGCTGGGCAAGGGAATGAAGACATTAAGCGAAGTTATTCATTTTAATATATGAACATTTAACTTTTGATAATTGTTTTTGAATGTAGATTTAATCAATTGTTTGAGATGAGATATGTATTAATGTATGATTGTGTGGATGTTAAAGGTGTAGTGATTTCCAAAGAGGAAATACTATAATGAGTGAGTTTAGATTGTATTGAATAATGATTTGATGATATTATCTTGATTATGCTAGTATCTAACTCACATAAAGGAAGATATCTAGTTGTGAGAGCCAATTGATGTTTCCACATTCTGATGCTTCAATATGAAACAAGACCGAACCATGTGGGTAGAAGAAATTTACCTTGACATACTTAAGGAGGATATTAGTTTTGATTCATTTATTGCTATGTGGGAGTGAGAAATAGTATGACAAGCAAAATTTCTAAGTCTACTTAATATACATGTCTTTGAAAGTATAGTCAAATATTTAAGTTATTAGAATCTTATATACTAAACCAATTGAATTGTGGTTATAACCAGTTGGATTCTGGTTATGGTGCTAGCGAGAACATATGTTATATTAAATTCTTGTTATATGTAATTGAATGATTATGATGATGATAATTACATTTGTTATAAAATTATTTATATTTTGTATGTTCTGTTATAGTACACTAACTTACTTTATTATTTTTTAAGTAGTAATTGATTCATATGTTATACGTGAACATATAACGATATAAACGAAAATAATAAGTAGTAATAAAGTTATTTATGAAATATATAAAGGAGGAAGTTAAATATGTATATATTTTTTTGAATTTAACATATTTTCTCCTTTGACATAGCTTTATATTTTTTTGAAAAATTGTAATCTTATATAAGACGCTAATGCATATTAAAATTTTCAATCATCTATAAGCTATAATTAATAATATGTAGATTCACAAAAATTGTATAACTATATGATGTGATATGATGAGAGGACTAAGGGGGGTGGCACCAAATTTCCGTATGTTGTCAATAAAGGCTGCGTTTTGTGCTTCTTTTTCTTAATATTGGAGAACAGACTTTAACTAATCTAAAAAAGGTATCACAAACATCTATAAAGACCAGTGTCTAGTGAGTTGTGACCAACGAAGACCCTCCACTTCTTTTTATCAAAGGAGCCTTGTGTTTATTTTTGTTTCATAAGTGTATTCGATTTGACAAGAAAAGCCAGGTAGGTGTTTGACAACATCATAAAACCATTCACGGTTTTCCAAAACTCATTCATCAAATTCCAAACAATTAGATATATATTAGGAGAAACTATGAGATCATAAGATTCTACATGAAATTTTAGGCTTCTTACCTACTACACTACCTTGTGTTAGTTGAAAAGTAACCGAGACAGTGGTAAATAAAAAGGAATTAAAAAGTTTCAATTTCAAATGTGAGTGTTTTTCTTTATAACTAATTATCATATTAAAGAGAGAAATTTCAGTTTTACTTGCATCGTATACTTATTGCTTGACATGTGAGTGTTTGATAGACAAATATTATTGCCTGGCCTTCTCAGTGAAAAGTTTCCAACCCTACCAAAACTTTACACACGTATTAAATATAAATCACATCTTGGCATCTAATCTTTACTTTGGGTCATTCTAAGGCACCAAAATAGGGATTGACACCATATATTAATTATTATACTATTGAAACGCCATTCACAAACTAATGTAATGATCACTTTCTATTAAGTGCCGTAGATGGTGACCCTTTTATAGTTTCTAGCATTACATTTTGAAGGTTATTGAATCTAACTATTTCCATACTGACCCTATTTCTTGTGGTGAGAATAAATAATAAGCTTCACTACTTCTGTGATTCATGCATGGTTGCTCCCAGCATACTAGTTCGAATGTAGTTAGCATTCACTGTTAAATTAATAATGCATGCTCATGTAATATATAGTAGGAATAAATCATAGGTTTAAAATGGAACAGTGGCTGCAAGTTTTGTAAGGTATATATACTGATACATCATACATGCAACTGGGGAAGCGTTGATAAAGGAGTTTCAAAAGATGAAAAACAAAGTAAAAGGATACATGATTCATGAATGTGGCAATATATTAAGTTTTGAAAATCGTATTCTTTTGAATAAATTAAGCTTGGTTTGTACTATAACTGAGAAAAAAACACATAACAGAGGAAGAAGTAGTGAAAACCCTATTCATTTTAATAAACCAAGCCCTGTTTTGTATGACCGACAAAAACCTTGGTTTGAAGTTTGAACCCACAATTCATATTGGTTTCACGGGCTCCACTATAGCGATTAAATTATTATGATTTCAACCGGATGTGTTGAGAAAAAAAACTGCAATAACGTAATCATCGAATGAATCAGATTTTGCCATAATCAAAATCTTAAATACAGATAAGAGGTAACTACCATGATAACGATTGTAATTTGCAGTGAGCTAGCAACCTAGGCAATTAATTAGTAGAAAAATACGGAAACAACTAATTGGGGGAGATGGATGATTTTAATATGGTTGCTGTCTGAAATTTCTGTTCTTTTGAAAAAAAAAAAGAAACAAAGAAAAGCAAAAGGTATCAGAAAGAGACAAAAGAGAGTGTGGGGTTTATCTTTTTAGCCCAAAGTCCAAGAGTGTGTGCAGAGAGTGCAGAGGAAGGAAACAACATCACCCAAAACAAAACATTAAACATTGCGTTTTCCTTAGTTTATTGACAAGCCACACGAGCGGTTCTCGAACTGCATGCACTGCACACATCATGGACTTTTCTAGAGAGAGAAATTGAAAACCCCCACACACTAACTCGCTCACTCACCACACTATTTAGTTGTTGCTTTCTCACTGTGAGATCAGTCTCAAAATAAGAACCCTGATCTCATTTCACTTCCTCTCTTTCTTCACACAATGTAGAGAGAGAAACGTCAAAATATATTCACCAGAATCGCGTGGGCTCACACATTCTCAACCTTTTCTTATTTCTTCCTTCTCTCTCATGTTTCAAAAATTCTCTTCTTTAAAAACGATGTTGTTTTAGCTCTTTCTTCTCATTCTTGTAACCCAACCCCACTCTGTCTTCTCTCTCCATGTCCCTCTCTTTTTGTGGGACTTAGTCTCACCTCAGTCATGGATTTGGAACGATATTGTGTTAGTAACGGTTTTCCTTCCATATATTCTCGATGATTCTGGCATTGCGATAGTTCATAGGGGAGAGAGAAACCCGTTTTTGTGAACCCTTTTGCTTGTCTTTTGCTTTTGTTTTCTTTTTTCGGTTTTTGTCTCCATGGATTCTTCTTCATGGTACTTCAATAATGTTGCTGGTGAAGGTTTCAATGGAGTCATGAGTTTCATCCCTTCTTTTCACGTGCGTTCTCAAGCTCCGCCCTTGGGTCACGGCAAGGGGGTTTTGGGTCCAAACCTTGAGATGGGTCTTCAGATGTTGAGCCCTTCCATGGTTCAGCAGCAGGAGAGTAGGGGGAAAAAGAGAACCAGTGGTGAAGGGGTTACGAACAAGAACCTGTCTTTGAAACGTGAGGAAGAAGAAGAAGCTAACGGCTCCATTTCAGGGAAAAACGGGTTCACCAAGCTTTGTGCCAGAGGTCACTGGAGGCCAGCAGAAGATGACAAACTGAAGGAGCTGGTGGCCCAATATGGTCCCCAAAACTGGAACCTGATCGCTGAACATTTAGAAGGAAGATCAGGTGATATTATTAGCTAAAATCTACTCCTGATTCGTTTCAAAGTTTGTGTTTTTAGTCATGTTTCTGAGGTATGTGTCTTTGTATGGATTATGGAAGGAGTGTGATGAAACTTGCATGGATTTTCTTTTATCTTTGGGATTGCAGGAAAAAGTTGTAGATTGAGATGGTTTAACCAGTTGGATCCTAAGATCAACAAAAAGTGTTTCTGTGAGGAGGAAGAAGAAAGGCTTTTGACTGCTCATAAAATGTATGGCAGCAAATGGGCCATGATTGCAAGACTATTTCCTGGAAGAACAGATAATGCAGTGAAGAACCATTGGCATGTGATGATGTCTAGGAGGCAGAGGGAGAGGGAGCAGTCTAGTGGCGTGTATAGAAGGAGAAAACCTCTTATCAATGAACCTCTTCCAAAGGGTTTGAATCTGACACTGTCTAACAATGCAACCAGTGATGAGTCAACCATCTCAAACACCATTGATGAATCTGCCTCAACTTGCACCAACCTCTCCCTAACTCCCTCTTCAGCCAAGTTCACTCCTTTTGGTCTCTTACACCAACCAGGTACACCATAAAATAGTTTAAATATTTTATTTGTTAGAAAAAAAGAAATTTAACACTGACCTTTTTTACAACATTTCTAACATACAGCATATAACATATGTGTCCTTTTCTATTTAGTTCTTTGTTTCACTTGTTCATTATGCTGTGAAAAATTTTAAAAAAAATAACAAGGATGTTTGGAAAAAATCTTATAAAAAAAAATAATCTGTTCCCTTTATTGTATGGAAAATTTCCTTCCAGATAAACTATATTTCCACGTATTTATTGAGTTTTTTTGTGATTTCAAGACCATTAAGAAAGATGATCTTAGGTTAAATATCATTGTTTATTTTAAGAAACTCCTTGTACAATAGACACGTGATACAATCACATGTAAACGGAAAGATTATGAGAAACAAGGATAATAAAACAATTAAAAAGATTATTTGAAAAAAACAATATCGCCATCCCGTACACGACTTCCATCATAAATTATTTTGAATTTTTATTTATAAGTAAGCTGTGTATGTATGCAATAAGGAGTTTTACATTTTGTATTGAAATCATCCATGAAATCCTGAAATTGAATGGTGATTAGAGATATAATTTTCATGAAAACACGTGGTTCGAAACGCGCTTTATATATTTGATTATTTAATGAAAAGTGATCTATTTTGGAGAAAGAAGAGGAAAATAGAGAACAAACGTAAAGAGCCCTTTTTGGTGTAATGCATTTATGAATAGTTTTGTATGATGGGTGGTACAAGTTCCCTATTTACCTTATCTTTTATTACTATGTGATTTCAGGAGAATCAAGAGAGGATGTGTGGTTGAAGAAGTATTTTGGTGGTTGGAAAGGGTCAGAAGGTATGGTGGGAAAAAGGGTAATGGGAGTGGAGCAGTGTAGTTTTTCAGATGCAAACTCAGAAGTATCAGCATCTGAGTCAGGTGTCACCAATAGGTCTAATCTCTCAATTTCTCAAGAGAAAGAGAGTGATAAGATTAACAACATCTCATTCATTGATTTTCTTGGAGTAGGAGCTACTTAGCTAAATTGCTGATGAAATCTCCACTAGTGAGGAGTGTTGTATAACATTCGCTTTTGTACAGTTGCTTCCATAAAAGGCAAAAAGGTAAATGGTAGAATAAATAGATGGAAAAAAAGATGATGAAATGAGAGATACAACTTAAGTAGAGAGGTTTTGACTGGGTCTTGTTATCAACTTATGTGATTCGAAATAGTATAATTATATTTAAAGTTTTGGTTTTGGATTGTTCCTGTCACGGCAGAAGCAGAGACTTGTAATCCTGTGACACTTTTGTCACTTTGTTAATCAGAACCCAAATTTTCATCACTGCTATGTCATGTCTCTGGTTTTTGTGCATTATTGTCTGACATTGTGTTTGCTGGCACTTCCACCATATTCAACATGCACTCATAATAACTCTTCCCGAATTTACACTAACAAATGTTTTCTTTGAGCTAAATAACTGGTTTAGCCAATGATGGGAAATTGTGTCATGACAATGATAATATAAAACTGAAGAAACTGTTGTTACAGAAAATGTAAAGAAAGAGAAAGTAAGGGGGTTAGGCAAAACAGGTAAATGTGGAACCCACGTGTGTGCTTGAATGATAATGTAGAAAAAGGATAAATATAGTTTAGTTCGTATAAAGTAAAATCGATTTTGACTTTGATTCGTGTAATTTTCTTTTATCCTTTTAAAATTAAAATGTATACTTTTTTTTATTTGTGGAATTATATGCTATAGTCATTAACTGGTCGTGAACCAAAGCTTAGGAATTAAGTTTCAAGTAGCGTTGGTTTAGTTTATGTGATATATTGTTAACATTTAACACATTATAAAAAAAAATGAGATCTATAACATTAATTTATTTTTTTTAATTTTAAAATAAATATTGGAGACTGAGAATATTTATTTAAAATTTTAGAAGAAAAAAAATCAAAGAAAAATATTTTCATACACTGAGATTAGATTTATCCTACTTTAGAGGATCTAAAACAATGCAAAGTTTATGAACGGAAAATAAGGAAATTTTTAATATAGACTAAGATCGAAATAGATTATTTAAATGGACTAAATACTATAAAACATATCAATACATGAAATTGTAGAAGAAATATTTATCTTCCTTATTTCATAATGATAAATTCTTTAGTATTTTTTTTTTTGAAAGAGTATTTTTCTTAATTTCTAAAGTTTTTCCGTACTCTTAGATATAATTAAGACTGGCTATAGAAAACCACTTCCATAAACGGATACACGAAAGTAATTAAAAAATTAAATTCCTAATAATTAAATTTGTAATAATCGAACTTTTCTTTTATTTTTTATTAACATTCATCAAATTCACTGGATAATAAACATTGAGTTATTATTAGTTCGAATAATTTGGTAACAACAAGAACGTGGAAAAACCAGATTATCTTAAGTTCATGAAAAGTGTTGAAAATCGTATTAAAACAAGAAATTAATCTTCTTCGTACATACGACCCACAAAAAGGAAATTTAAAATTCAGATTGGTTTCACGAGCTCCGCTATAGAGATCAGATTATTGGGGGTTTTGCGTTGATTTTCATAAGCACACGTTTATAAATAAAACTGAAAATGTAAATAAATTGAGCAGATTTCGGGCAGAGGAAACTTTTCATAAATAATTTATACTAAATTGAAAAAAAAGCTTACAATTAACACGTGATATTATTATTATTATTATTATTATTATTATTATTGAAAACACATCTGTATTTAATTTTCTTTATAATAATAAAATATAATAATTTTATTATCATTTTTATTATTATAAAATTAAATATAAATAATTTTTATAATTTTTTGTACATAATTCTAATTATTTATTTAGTACGTAATTTAATAATTATAAAATAATTAATTTTAAAAAAATTAAATTAAAAAATCAGTTGACTTAAAAGAATAAAATTGAAAAATAAATATGAAGAGTTTCCTATTTATAAATTATTATTTCCTCGTGAAACTGATTATAATAAATATTATCAAATATATCGTTTGTTATTCCAAATAGTTTTCATCGGTGGCTGTTCTATATAAGCTCCAAAGAACATTTTATAAAATTTCATCACCAATTTTTTATTAATTTTAATTTTAATGTGTTTGGAAGTCTTCCTGTCTTAATTTTGATCTATTTAAGAGGGTAGACGCGCTTGCAGAGACATTTTAACACCCATATTCAAACGTTATCACCACGTTATAATTGATATAGATAACTGATGTTTCGGTGAAATTTGTCCGAGGTCTATAATTTTATTATAACAATAATATTTGTTAATGTACGTGTTAACTGTTCATTAATATCATCATATTCTTGTGTAATATGACCTGTCAATCAGTCATAAACAGTGTATATGCGCATTTAATATGGTCATTAAACGTATTAATTGGCCATTAATTATATTTACCTTTTTTGATTAGTGTGTTTGACAGTCGGCCGGTTGGCTGTTTTGGCTCCAGATTCTCCTTAGCCGATCGGTCACCAGGTATAGTACATTAAGCCCCATTTGAGTCGAACGGTTTCACGTATTGAATCTTTGTCATTTGTACTATATAGTTGACTGACTGCATACTTGACACGTAGTCTTTTTTATTAGAGCTTCATGGTTGACGAAAGTGTAAACCGCTCGGTTGAGAGGGATTTTCCTCTCAGTCTTTAACTTAAGCTTTGACGAGAGGGATTTACCTCTCGGCCAAGAGGGATTTACCTCTTGATATTTAATTTCAACGAGAAGAGTTTACCTCTTGGCCGAGCGGGATCGGTCTTTGTCTTCAATCTTGACGAGAGGGATTTACCTCTCGGGCAAGAGGGATTTACCTCTTGGTCTTTAACTTCAACGAGAGGAATTTACCTCTTGGCCGAGTGGGATTTACCGCTCGATCTTTGTCTTCAATCTTGACGAGAGGGATTTACCTCTTGGTCTTTAACTTCAACGAGAGGAGTTTACCTCTCGGGCGAGTGGGATTTACTGCTCAGCCTTTGTCTTCAATCTTGACGAGAGGGATTGTCTTTAACTTCAACGAGAGGAGTTTACCTCTCGGCCGAGTGGGATTTACAGCTCGGTGTTTGTCTTCAATCTTGACGAGAGGGATTTACTTCTCGGCCAAGAGGGATTTACCTCTTGGTCTTTAACTTCAATGAGAGGAGTTTACCTCTCGGCCGAGTGGAATTTACCCTTCGGTCTTTAGCTTCAAACTCTTCCTAAGAGTCTTCGTCATTGCATACGAACTTTAACAAAGTTAGCAACCAGTGAGTGACTGAGCATGAATTACTAGAACCTGATAAGGTTGGACGTAGGACTGAATCTTCCTGTGCAGGATATTTTTACTCACAAAATTATGAGTTAAACAAATATATTATAATTTATAAATTATAATCAAAAGTGGAACCTGACAAGGTTGAACGTAGGACTGAGTGCAACATATTTTTTTACTCTTGTTGCAAAACCTGGTGTTGATCCGAAGTAACGATGTTGAGACCGAGCACGCGTCTGGTTCTTCGTGGCTTCATGGGGATGCTACTCGGCCCCGCGGTGGGCACCAAAATGTTTCATAAAGAGGTCTATATTTTATTATAATAGATTAAGGTGTCTTTACCCGGGCATTAATCCTATATTTATAGGGTTTGTAGCAATTAAGCTCATTAATTCATATTTGATATGACAATAAATCCAATAATACTTAATGTACCTGCTAACTGTCCATTAATATCATATTCTTGTGCAATATGACCTGCAATCAGTCATAAACAGCGTATATTTGCATTTAATATGATCATTAAACGTATTAATTGACCATTAATAATATTTATCTTTTCTGATTGGTGTGTCTGACCGCCGGTCGGTTGCCTGTTTTGACTCCGGATTCTCCTTAATCGATCGGTCACTAGGGTATAGTACAATTGATTTGAAGATAATTGTCTATTTATATTAAGATTTGAGAATAGATTCATATTCTTAATCATTATTTAACTGTTGTTTAAGCGTGATTATGGTGTTTTGTATTTTCCTTTTTTGTAATCGATCTAAGGTGCTTATTGATACGCCTAAACATTCTTTGTCCTATTAATTTGTGTAGTTTATTGATTTACATTTATTTATTCTATTCATTTGAGATTTATATTAATTTGTATTTTTTTACTTATGAGATTATATGATGTGTTAGATTTAGGGGTAACAAAATAAAGTGCACTGTTAAAAATTACTATAAATAAAAAAATAGTTAGTTTGTACTAAATTGAATTGAAAATTATTTAAATTAACTGAAGTGAACAATTTTTTGTTTTTCCAAATTAAATTGTATTGAAATTTGATTTCCACTTTAACACACAATACAACTTTGAGATGGATTAGAATAGGCTAAAGGTCGAGACGGGTCAGATATGGCCAAAAGTTAAGACATATTAGATTGGACTAAATGTCGAGAGGGGCCAGGTTGAGTCTAAGGTCAAGAGGGGTAGTAGGATTGAGTTGACCTCCATAGAAAGTCTATTGAATTTGGTCAAGACAGTCATGGTTGAAACTTGATGGGATTGATTGGTCCCTATCGAATGGGTCTCGGTCGAAACTTAGGCGAGATGATAGACAAGACGATTATGACCGAAATGTAACTGAATTTAGTCAAGTCGGTCCTGATTGAAAATCAACCGAATCAACCATGACCAAAAGTAATTCGAATTGGTTTTGACTGAAATTCAGCCGAATTGACCCAAATCAAAAATCAATCAAATTTGATCGAATTGGTCCAACCAAATTTTGATCGAGTGAGTAATATTTAAACTAAAGTGTAATTTTAGAAACTTATAAATAAATAAAATTTTTGAAACAAAATAATTTTAAGTTAATATGTAGTTAACTGAATTATAATTTTTAAAATTAAGCTTTTAATACAGTTAATTCTTTAAATACTTCGGTTACTTTTGTGTATATTAGATTTAAACCTTCTAAATTAGTTCATGATAGCGACTATAATTTGGAGTGTTGTATTAAGATGCGCAAATATTAATTAATCATTAAAAACGTCAATAAACAATTTAGACAAATCAGAATGTTTCAGCCGACAGGATTGAGAATGAGGAATCTCTCTCATACAAGAGAATGGTGTGATGAAAATTGACAAAAAAGGATTCCATATACATTATTTTTATTTTTTAAATAAACTTATATGAAAAAATATTTCTTCAAATTTAGATTTTCAGAAACTGAAATTGTTATTTCATCAAAGTGATCTACCGAAACGTATCGAAGCAAGCAATCGACGAATCAATGAAAATATACTTTTATTATTAAAAACTATAGTA